CTTCAGTATTATGCACACAGAGGCACTTTTGTTTACTACTGTTACCTATGGTAGCTTTTCAAACTATTCCATGAGCTGTAATGATGCAATTTCTGATGAAATTTCTCTTTTCTTAGAACACCTTTAATTGGATGTTATAATCACTGGAAATGTTTTTATACTCATGTGTTTTTCTTTTCATGTACCTCTAAAATAAATCCTGGCGGTGAAGTGTTGTGCATGGCCTCTGTTAATTTGAGGAGGAACAGATTGGTTTGGGTGGGGAGGATTAATTTGTAACTTTTCTCCAAGGAGGTTATTTTGGTCATGTTTGATGCACAGATACAAAGTATTTTAGAGGGAAATTAGTTACAACTTATGGTAGGGCTTGGGCTGCAAAAGAAGAGCAAGGATAAATGCTGGTTTTCCTTTGACAAAGCAGATTCATCTTATTTTTTCTCTATTTCAATGAATCCAGTATTAAATGCTCTTGTGGTTTTGCATTTTCTGTCCCTCTTCCCCATTGAGGTTTTGACATTTTCCTTGTAAAAATGCCCAGACCACTTGACATTGCTTCTTAATTTTTGAGAGCAGGTTCTTCTAATTTCACTTTTTCACAGTGAATTTTTCATGGTGTGATTTGAGGTGTCTCTTTTCCTTTTATGAAAGATCTGCTAAGTTATGCATCATATTTTACATTTTCTATATTTTAATATAAATTTGCACTCGGCTTCCATCTAAGGATAACTTTTCATAATTTCCTGCTGTTGCAGAATTAATTTTCAGATGGGAGCTATATATCCAAGGAATGTTGTCCAGTCTAGCCTCATTTAACTCCCATATATTTCTGATTGCTGGCTAAGCTCAGGATGTGCAGTGTATCATTGCACACAGATAGTACAGCTCTGTGTAAACAGGAAATATTTCTAAGATGTGTTTGTGAGACCCTAAAAATACGTTCTGATAAAAACCATTGTTTCTACTACCACTGCTTCCTTCTCTGCTCTTGGACACTGAGTGACACTCAGATGAACTTGTCTCAATTAATATACTGCAGTGGAAAGGCCAGTTGGACAAAGCTGGAGTTAGGTTTTCCTTGAGAGAGGAAATGATGCCTTTTTTAAGAGCTCTGTGTTGGTAACAGGAAACTTCCTGTGGCCCTTTCTGCCCCTGGATTTAGGAATTGCTGTTTGCACGTGATTGACACGAAACAATTTCTATTTAATATACACTTACTCTGGAAAATGATCTGCTCAGGAACTGCCCTGAATTTGTTTAATTGCTTCAATTTGAGGAACATCATGGATCTGTGTTTGTACATCCCACCTCCCTCCATTACAGTGGAACTGTCATTTCCACTCACAGGGTGTCTGCAATTGAGGAGAACTTTGTGCAGCCTAGAAAGCAGCAAGAGAAATCTGTGTGGGAACAGCTGAGCACAGCTTGGGAGAATCACTGGAGTCAGACTGTGAAGTTTGAGATCTGGGGATGCAAACTGGCAGGAGGAAATGCAGAGGTGCAGGAAGAATACAGAAAATATGAATATAGGCAACACAAAAGGATGAAAAATAGGATAGAAAATGTTTTGCCCTGCTAACTGTGCTTTGAAACTGGCAGTGCTCAAGTGCAGACATCAGCTCTGGTAGGGAATGCTTCAGCATCATTTGTCAAGTTCTAATTGCACTGTACTGTGGTTTTACAGCTCAGGCTCATCATAGACCACACTCTGCTCCTCTGAGTTCTTTTACATTTTTTCCTGCAGCTTCTTTCTGCTGTTTTTACCTTTTTTTATTCTCTTATCACTCACTTATAGCCCATTTTCAGAAGGTTTTTTTGCACATAATTCTGGTATCTGCATCCCAGGAGCCATTCCACTAACACAGCTTTGGTGTTCTGACTGTTGTGATTTCTCTCCATAGAAAGGGGAGGTAAATCAGGCTGAGAATTGCTCCTCATTACTGAGAATAGGGTGGGTTTGTTTGGGGAAGTGACAGTGTTGGGTTTGAAAATGTGATAAAATCTATTTATTTTTTAGTGGAACTCTGTATTGGGAAGTAAGTGCTCAAGGAAACAATTGTTGGACTGGAACAATCTTGTGTAGAACAGCTAAGGAAGCATAAGAATAATTCCAGATACAAAACACAGAACTTTTCTTTGCAGTTGCTGAACAGAACTGTGTTACCTGTATTTGCTCTGGAGTGGCCAGTGCTTGGTAATCTTGTTAATTAATCTTGTTAATGCTTTCTTGGCAAGCATTATCAACTCCAGTTGGTTTGTAGTAGAGCTGAAAATTCAAGTTTGGCTCTTCCAAGAAGATAGAAGGAATTATCTCCTGAGCAAATATTAAAATACCTGAAATTTAGACTGATTTTTTTTTCCCCCCACAGTCACAGGCAGGATATGTGATATCTTTTTTTTGGAGAGTGATAGGTCTGGCCACTCCATTAATGGATGGCATGATCTTTGTAAAGTTCTGTAATTGGACTTAACCCAGCATTCACCAGATTATTTTTCTCCTGTTTGTAGGAATTTTCATGCAGTAACGTGCCAATTAATTTCCTTTGCCATGATTAGTTAGCTACTCAAGGACTCAATTAATAAAGATTCCATTCTGCAGCAGTTTGCAGAACTTCCTGTAGTTACCATGGGAGCAGTCAGGGGTTTTTTATTGCTTGCTCTTGGAGGCAAAGATGAAGGATTTTTTTCTGCACAAAATCTCTTGGTAGATTTTTGAAGTCCACCATGGGATTGTTTCGTGCCAACACCTCTGGAACAGCATCCGCAGCGACCTGACTTTTCTGAGCCTGCTGGGACAGAAATGGAACAGCAACAAAGCTGGAGGCAATAAACACAAACATAAATTTAGGCTTCTTGGAACTGTCGTGGCACATTGGAATGAGTGGAAACCAATCTTGAACTTCATTGTTTCAGCTCACACCTAACACTTGGTATAAATACAGAGGTTCATCTTTTCCTCTCACAACAGGGCTGAACCAAAGGCTGCACTTAGTCAAGGTTGGCTGCTGCTGCTGCACACTGAAACCAGAACCATCCATAAAGAATAGAGGGATTTACTGACTTTCCTTGGGAAAATGGAGCTGCAGGTTGAACGTGTCCCTACAGGAGAAATCATCCGCGTGGTCGGGCGCAAGGCACAGCGCGGCACTGTAAGCCTGGCTTTTATTGTCCCCTGTTCCCTTCTGGTACTGCTGGTCACACAATAACCAACCTAGATCTGAACTGAGCTACCCCAGGGTAAGAATGGAAGGGTTTGCAAGGCTGCTTGGTCATTGGAGGGACTGGAGCTGTGTTGTGAACAGTTTTTTCTCTCTGGGATGGAATTAGTAGCAGTGAAGTGAGTGGGAGTTTAGAAAACTGTTAAGATTTATTTTCTGTAGAGATACTGCAGTGACCCAAAGCTGTTTGGCCTGGCTGTATGAATTCTGTCAGAATTCTGGGAGCATTTTCAGACAGCAGGGGAAGGGAAGGTGCTTTGAAATAGTTGTTTTGTTCCTCGTGTGTTGGTTGTGCTGTCATGGGGTTCATGCCCTGAGTGTTATAGGATGGTTCACATATGGAAAATTCAGTGGTACAGGCACATATTAACAAACTTATAAATATCTCAAGGAACTGAATATTCTGTTAACTTTCTTGACTTGTTTTCAGGGTTTGTATATAAGCAAATGGAAATCCCTGAGCTGATCTTTTCTGGTTGGACACAAACAGTTGAGAAGGATGGTACTTTTCTAAGAATAATTTCAGTTTTCTTGGAATTAATGGCTGTTCCGTGTGTTTTGCTTCAGAATATTTTCTATCTGCATTTGTATAATTTTTAATTAAAGGAGCCTAAAGAAAAGGAACTGAGTAAAATTTAAAAAGGTTTGGAAGTACCTAAGTGCAATTGTGAATTTCTCTCTCTGTCATAGCTATTTAAAACCTGTTTAACAGATCTTCAGCCCTGGCAGAGCCATCTTGTACTGAAGTGCACATCTGTGCATGTTGCTGCTGTTTCCTAGCATTGTCTTTCTAGTGACTAATCTGAAACTCAATCTGAAAATGAGCTGAGACATTTACTGTGTGGTTACACAATCGGCAGGTAGAGTCATTTTACTTCAGAAAAAACCTAGAGCTCCCTCTGCCTTGCTGGGGTGGAGACAGTGGCAATTCTGGTGTTCTTTGGTTTGCAGGAGTGTTACTGACTCATTTGTAGTGTTATTAGGGAACGCTGGCAGGACTGAAGTGTTGTTCCCAGGAGTGAATGTTCCTTTAAACATTAGCGTGTGCCGGGGTCCTGGGGAAGACATCAAAGAGAGAAAAGGTATCCGTTCAACTTTCTAAAAAGTTTTAAACACTTATTAACATTCCGTGAAATAATAACTTGCTACTTTGTGTGTCAGTCAGGGTTGGTGTTACATGAATGGCCAGAGAGGGGGGTTTGAGAGAAACTTTAAGATATTTTAAACTGCTGCGGGAGCGGCAAGAGCAGAGCTTTTTACTCTTTTAGCTCAGAGTGGTTCAGGCTGTTGGAGTTCAGTGCGTAGAATTTCCTGTAGATCCTGACGAGACTGCCTGGGGTATTTCACACCTGTGTGGGATGAACCAATGCGCTGCTCACAGCCGATGGTTACCCGAGCTCGGTGCAATGCACTCCACCTGCGTCCTTCCCAGGAGCACGCGCTCCCGATGTCTCTCACAGCCGGTAGAATTACCGACAGCGTTCCAGGTTTATCTTGTCCGTCTGCAGCAGACAGGTGCGTCTGCCCTCGGAGCTAACAGCAGCTCTCTGCACAAGCTGCCCAGCAGGATGCTGCCGCCGCCGCGGACACCGTGAGGATCGCGGGGCGGCCCGGGGGGCGAGGCGGGGCGGCGGCGGAGGAGCTCGGGGCCGGTGCAGGTGAGGGCGGAGCGGCGGCCCCAGCCCAGCCCAGCCCGCATGCCCGGCGCTCGGACATGCTCACTAGCGGCGCGCCGCGGGCTCCCGCGGGCAGTCGGCGCCGAGGCGCTCCCGGAGCCGCCGCAGGGCCCCGAGCCGCGCGTCCCGGGGCACCACCGAGCGCAGGTGAGCGGGGCCGGGGGGGCCGAGCGGGCGCTCTGTCCGTCGGTCTGTCCGTCGGTGTGCGCGGTGTGTCCGTCCCGCCCGGCCGGCCGGCGGTACCGGCGCTCGGGCACATGGTGGCCGCGGGGCGCGCGGGGCGGCGCGGGGGCAGCCGCGGCTCGGCCGTTCCCCGCAGCCGCCGAACCTTCCCGGAAACTCGGAGCGTTCTGCGCGGAAGGAGCAAATGACCGGGGTAGAGCAGCCGGCATGCCGCTGGCGGCACGGCGTGGCTCCGGCTGCCCGCAGCAGTCTCTCGCTGCCCGGCTCCCGGTGCACTCCGGTAACGCTTCCGTGCGCGCATCCCGAGCCGCAGCGGAGCCGGGGCAGGGCAGGGCGGGGCTCAGACGTGGCCGTGACACGGCCGGGGCTCCGGGCGGCTCGGCTTGCCCTTGTCAAGACAGGCTTCCCGTACATCCCGAACTTGCGTTACAGCTCCTGGGTGTGATCCACCCTGCTGGGCACAGCGCTGACTGTTCGCATTGAAGGAATTCTTCCTTCTTTGCCAGTGCTTGCACAGGTGTCTCAAAGCACTTCATGGGGAAGTGTCCTCTCTATTTAGCCCTCTGTCACAGGTGGAGATGGTCAAACTCCTTAACTTCTCAATTTAGACCCCAGGTCTGCGTCCCCACTGAGGCTCAGGGTCTCTATCTCTAGTGCTGCTTTCCATGCTGGTTTTCCCCAGTTCTAATATACCTGGAGTTAATTGTTTTAAGTGACAGTGACTCATGGGAGGAATCTGACTCTGCCTGAATGAGCAACTCATTCTAGTAACTTGAATTTTCCAAGTAAGCTGGCTTGAGCTGCATTCTTGTCGTTGGGAGGATTGCAGAGGAAAAGTGGTTCTGAGATACAATACAGAGATTATTCTGGTATTTAATCTCTCTCTGACAGTTGCCTGGGGGGGGAAGGCTCCTCCAGAACTACTTGTGGAGGGCAGCTGCTTAGTTTTTTAAAGTGACAAATGAGAAAATTTGCTTGGTTGGTGGGACAAGCCATGAAAACAGAACCACATCTTAGAGTACTTGGAAAGAAAGGCATTTTTCTTTCATCCCCTTTTGGAGCAATAGACAATTGCCAGTTGTCAGCACCTTTTCAAAACTTTTAGAAACTGCCTAAGGCTTATGGAACTGATGAGTTCTTAATTTTCACAGTAGGCCCTGATATGGCAACCACTGTCATAACACTTCAGGGGTTTTAGTTTTGATAGTGGATATAATCCTGTGTTCTAGGGAGGGGCTGTGTAAATATGAATTTTGTGTTCTGCCTGGCAGGGACCAATGGAGTGCTACACTGAACACATGTTCTAATTTATCATCGTACAAAGGATAGATTTATTTTTAAATATTAAAAAAAAAAGGTGTGAATCATAACACACTAAGGAGTGAGAGATCCCATGTGAGTCAGTATCCACAGTGTGTAATTTCTGTTCTCTCCTGCATAATTAATAATGAAGAAACTTGTGATTTACAGTACATCTTCAGGATTTATAACAACTGTAAGAGAACTTGCATAGATCCTGACAAAATTAGTCAAGCCATTTTTATTTTTTTATTTGATCTAACCCCACTGGAGGAAGGCCAGTAAGAAACTGGGGGCTAAGAATGCTTTATAACATTAAATATAGTGTTTCTTTTTATGCATAAGCTCAAACTCTATGGATGCCTTTATGCAAAGCTAAGAGAGTCTTAGTCTTGTTCAGATATATACAAAGCTAAGATAGTCTTAGTCTTGTTCAGATATCTGAGATTTTTCTGTTTGTAGTGTCATGTTGCTCATTACTGCATTAGGAACCACATGCTTTCTAGGAACAGGACAAATTCCTCTCCCCCTGTCCAAAGGAACAGTCTGCTCCAAGTGCAGGAAAAACAAACTGCAGCAGCTGCCACAGTCCCAGGGCAGTGCCTAAACCCAGCTCCCAGTGCCCCTTACCTGGCAGCTGTGAATGCTTCCAGCATGGAAAATATTGAGGAGCACTGGCTGCAGCACTTTGCCCCCCAGTTCAAAGGGCTGATGAGTGAGCACTGTTCTCAGGTAACCAGCTGTGCCTTCTGGAGGACAGGAGTGTGTTTGGGAGAAGCTGGAGTGTTACAGGTGCTGCAGAAAAGGAGGTGGAGAGAACTCAAAGTAGAGATTTCCCCAGGGCTGCTGTGTGCCACAGCCCTTTGTGAGAGGGGTAACTCAATCACTTGTGCTTTCACACAGGCTGAAGAGCCATTCAGAAAGGCTGATTTGTGTGGTGGGGAAAACCATCTGTGTTGTGCTTTGGGTTACCTCTGGCAGTGGCAGCCAGAGGTGGTTAACTGCTGAGAGCTGATCCAAATCAGAACTGAGCAGCCAAACAAACAAACAGGGGATTTGTGAGGAGCAGTTCCCCAGCCCAGCTCTCTGTGTGAGCACAGCAACATCTGCACAGAGGCAGGGAGGGCTGGGCTCAGGTGTGCCCTTTGTGCTGGCATGAAGTGATGGCAATTATGGCACGTGTGTGTCTCCTGTCAGGGCTTTTCCTGTGTTAAACACTGCTTTGCTGCTGTGCAGCCAGCTTCTGAGTGATGTGGTTGGCTCTGCCTAGGATTGCTATCCCTGGCTTCTCCAGAAACCATCCATCCAACCTTGCTGTCAGCTCTGGTGGGTGAGGTTTGCATGCCTTGTCTTCCTCTGAGATTGTAGCACGGTTCTTTTTCTGCCTGGAGGGAGCCACTTGTGCTGTGCCTCTCTGTACCTGGATTCAGGGATCTCTCTGCTGGAAAATATCCTGCTCTGTGTTTTGTGCCCTCCTCTGCATATTTCTGGTTGATGTATTGGTGGGGTGGGTGGCCAGCGCTTTCCAGAAAACATTAATAAAAATGGAAGCAGGCAGCACAAGTCAGTGTGAAAGGCTAACAAGGCTTATTAAGGCAGAAGGTTTGGAGTGGACAAATCTCAAGTAATTTGTTGCAACTGAGTCATGTTCTGTGGGGGTGGAAGTGTTCCTTACAGCCCTGCCCTGCCTTATTTAAATATTTAAACATTTAAATACAGCAAGGAGCAGCAGGGCCAGTACCTTTTCTGTTGCTATATATCTCCAGTGTAGTCTGTTCTGTATTAAATTCCTGTACTGGAAGGCAGTAAAGGTTAGTATTTAGAACTCCTGTGGCATTCATGCATGCATGGGTAGCTCTCCCTGGCAGCTTTTTTCTTTAGGAAATCATTTGGTCAGGTGCCAATGTCCAGCTTTCCTGGGACACTCTCAGTCCTTTAACCAGCACAGTGACCTTGGGCCAGCCTGGCCACCACCCTTCCTGTGATTCTGTTCAGCAGCTGATAATAACTGGATGTAGAATTTGACATTTTGGCAGCACCTTTGGAGTGTTTGCCCTGTGGGCAGTGAGGTCCCAGGGCTGGGAGGTACAGCAGGCTGCAGCCACTGAAAGCTCTGTCACTGAATGGGCAGTGTCATTGTTGGTGCTGAGGAATGTCGTGTCAAAATGTGTTGTGATATTTGCCAGGAAATGGAGAGTCCATGAATGACTAAAAAGTGCTCTGTGACACAGCTGTGATGGCACTCAGCCTGCAGGCTGGGCTCTGCAAGCTAGAGCTGTTGTGCCTTGACATTTATTTTGGTGATTTCTTTTGAAGGCACTTTTCTAGTAAAATTTCACCACAGAGTTTGCTGTAATGATGATGAAAGGTCTAGAGGGGAAGTCCTGTAAAGAACAGCTGAGGTCACTTGGTTTGTGCAGCCTGGAGAAGAGGAGAGTGAGGTCAGACCTCACTGGGGGCTGCAGCTTCCTCAGGAGGGGCAGCACCAACCTCTGCCCTGTGACAGGAGGAGGGAGCAGCTGGAGCTGTGCCAGGGCAGGTTTGGGTTGGATTTTAGGGAAAGGTTCTTCCCCAGAGGGTGCTGGGCACTGCCCAGGCTCCCCAGGGAATGGGCACAGCCCCAAGGCTGCCAGAGCTCCAGGAGAGTTTGGACAGCACTCCCAGGGATGCTCAGGGTGGGATTGTTTGGGTCTCTGTGCAGGGCCAGGAGTTGGAATAGATGATCCTTGTGGGCTCTCCAGCTCAGGATTTTCTGTGATCTGACTCCTTATTTCCTTTTAATCTGACCAGAGATTTCCCCCTTCCAAAAGCTAACACAGAGATGTGCTCCTACCCTGGGACAGGAAAGCAGCCTTTGCAGGGGCTTGGAGGCTGCAGGGAAACCTCCTTGGTGCCTCAGCAGCTGAGTTTCATTAGGCAGAGTGGTCCTGGTGCCTTCTGCCAGCTGACAATCACCAGGTGTGTTTGGCCATTTTGCTAATGAAGAGGGGGATTATGGAAGGAGCTGTAATTCAACTAGGGAGCAGTGTTTGTCTGAGGATTTTATTGAGCTTGCAATTGCATTTTTCTTCATTACCGTATCCTCAATATTTTATGGCTGTCTTTATGTCTGTTTTCATTGTCACCTGATGCCTGGGCTAGATGGGCTATTCCTATCCAGGAAAGAATCAGCTTTATTTCAGCATTATAATGACCAACTGAGAACAGAAAAAAAAGGTAAACTCAGCTTTCACACTGCACATATTGTTCATGGCTGAAGGGTCCAGTTAAGTCAATGTCCAATTATATAATGAAGAGATAGTGATCTGTTTAGCTTTTTAGAAAATTAAATTCCACTGAAACAATATAACTGGGACTATGGAAGTAGGAGGAAAACTATTTTCCATTCTGAAGCAGGCCTTTGTATAGAGTTGAGTTTTTTTAAACTCACTAACAGTAACTAATAACTTGTACATTATACAGCCCACACTGAGTCATTGTTTACTCAGGGAAATGACTTTCAACAGCCAGACTTGTTTGTGAAGTTTAATAACTAAAATATGCAGTTCTGTGCTTTACAAGGCTGCACACTATAACCAACATTTTGGAAAAAAACAAAACCTGGTGCATGTTTGCAACATCACACAGCACTGCATTACAAATGCTGCTGCTGCAGCTCAGGTTTT